CTTTTTATTTGGTAATCTTAAAAACCACCAATGGGTAAGCACAGACTTTCCCATGAGTGCCAGAACCAATGACATAAATGCTTCCTTCTAAATTCCCCCAAATTATGCAAAGATAACCTGGAAATAAACTTCTGTCCACAAGAGGAGCTTCTGTTGGTTCTTCACAAAAAAATATTTTTTGACTAGTTGTAAATGTGAAAAAGGCTACTTAATGGGTATGATACAGAAACTCCCAAAGGAGATAAAAGTATTTTCTCCATTCCTACCCTAATGAAGTGGCCAGAATTCAAATGCACTGTCTGAATTTTGACTTTAGAGCATCCAACTATAGATTCCCAGTCATATCTTTGTCTCCTACTGATGAAAGCATCTGTCTCTTCTGGTCTCAGGAACTAGACAGGAAAGTACTTCACAGGCTTACTATTATTAACAAATTTTAAAAAGGCCCATAAGGATTTCAAAAATTCAATTTTAGTATATGTGCTGCTGAAGCGAGCACAGGATTCCAAAAATTCAGACAGGAAACTCAGGACAACGTGATATTTACTATTTACTGCAAGTCATGATGTTTCCACGCCTTTTCCTAAGAACCGCGTGCGGCTTTTCTGAGCACCGCTAGGTTTCAACTGCTTCACAGCCAGGGTATCCTAGATGCGCTGGAGTCTGTGGTCCCCCTGCACTGTGTCCTTTCCCTCTAGTGGGCACTCGAGGCCTGAAGGTCTGATGTCCCGCCCTTGACAGCCTGCACAGCCCTGGGATGCAGAGAACAAGGCTCCCCGGCTCCCCTCAACTAAGGCTGTCTTCCACTGGATTCTGAACCCTGTACAACGAAGGGCCCCCATCTCATTATCCCACCTTCCCTACTGGAAGAACCAGAAAGAGATGCCTCATCCTTAGTCTCTGACACAATAACTGAGTAGGCAATCTTCTGAACTTGCTCTGTACCAGTAAGAAGAAAACTGATAAAAAGAAAGGTGAAAAATTCCTAGTGCTGGGAGAACAGCAGGCTGATTTCAAGTCTGTCACACAGGTGTATGAAATAAGATCATCTAGAAAAAAATACAATCTCCCTTGGAACGTCTTCCCATTCCATCTACATTCCAGAATTCCGTGCTCCACTCCTCTTCCATCTAGGCTGAAGAAATGATGTAGGATCGTTTCTTTGGAAAGGAGAAATGTGCAATTACTCGTTACGGGCTAAAAAATGCAGAAAGTCACACCCAGCCCCAAGAGTCTGCTACTCTCACGGAGGTCATCATGACATAGGCTTCTTGTCCATTTTTCATTTGGGCAACTTTTCACTTCTCACACTCGTCCACCCCAGAGAACCACCCATGGGGTTTACTGAAGATTCAGATTCCATTGCTCCTTCCAAACTGAATCAGGATTTTCGGAGGGAAGGACCCAGGACTCTGCTCCTTTAGCAAGCTGCAGGTAATTCTTATGATGAGGTTCAGTTTGAAGAACACGGACCTTGGGATTATGCTCATCTTTTAAAAAAAACTCCACTCCTAATTTTTCCTTTATGAGTCCCTGAGGAACTAGTATGTTGATTAAAAGTACTGTGAACTGCACATATAAAGATAGAACCAGTCCACTTTGCAGGCTAGCCTTTTAGAGTAGCTAAGTAATGTATGCAAGTAAACTAGCAGCTCTTAGTTGTTAAATCATTAGGCTGAGGGTTGGTGGGTCTAAGCCACTAAAGCAGATGAGGTTCCTCTAAATTTCAATTATTTGAGGCATTATCCTGCTTTCCAGCCAGACTGTGCAAAGGGATGGTCTCGTCTAGCATGTGCTAATCAAAGACCTGTACAGACTGAAATGGTTAGGTCTAAAAGTCAAAAGACAATGCAAACTCAGGAGGAACTCCTGGAGAATGGCATAAAAAGAAACCAAAGTGGATCTGGAGGCGTGTTTTCTTTCACCATGCTAGATCTTGCGTGTAGCACCAAACACAGCACATGGAAGGCATTTAATACACAGTTGGCGAGCGGAAGAATGAGGGTTGATGAATGAATGGGGTATGTGTCAGTGATACAAATAAAAATGACATCGTATAATTCAGTAGCATCTTTAGGGAAGAGAAAAGCGTTGTTTAAAATTTCTATAAATTACCTGGTAGAAAACTGTTACCAGCCTTTCACCTAAATAAATGACACTGAATTTATTTTCAAAACAGGAAAAGCAAATCCTGAGAGGCCCACAGAAGCACAAAAGTAAAGAGAAAGAAAAGAGGAGGGAACGAGAGCTACAAAGGGGGTGCTTCGGGCGTAATGAAATCTGAGACGAGCAGCCCACAGGACGGCAGCACACAACGTCTTGGCAATGCGCCTCCCCGGGGGTGGGCCCGGGGGCCAGAAACCACGTACAGCACACGTGAGGGACAAATTCACCAGAACCACGACAGAACACAGAAGGAGAGGAGAACTCAGGTCAAGGGAAGGCAAAGAGCCAGGGAAACAGAATGAAGAAGAAGAGTGGGAGGGGAACGTGCAACGTGTCATGCGGGGACCTCGGTGAGGACGAGTGAGCACCAGGCAACACTCAGTGAGCACAGAGGACGGGTGAAGGCGAGACACACCTCAATCACAGAAACAAACTGCTTACCCTCCGTTTTAGTGGAAGTACCATCTTTAAGCAAATTAAAAAACAAGGGAAGGGATAACAGGGAACAGTTAGTAACAGTAAAAAAATTAAAAAGCAGAATGTTATTAGCTACTAAAAAAGCAAAAGTACAATTTAAAATAAAACTGAAAAAGAAGTTCAACAGCAAAGCAGATTCTGAAGCGAGTAAGTGCGCCTTGTGTTAAAATCGGCTTAGTATTATGTCGCTTTTGGCTTTTGGAAAACAAAACGAAACATGGCAAACCCAGGGTAGTGCCTCGGTCGATAGTATTGATTTTCTGTTTGAGCCAACCCTCATCCTCTTCAGAGTTTCTTTTTCTCAGAACCAAGTACCAGCAGCGTAAGGGGGGAAAAACCAAAAACTAAAGTACTGAAGAGTCACCCAAAGGACAGAGGCGAGTAGGAAGCTGACAGAAGCTGGCTCTAGCAATGGCGCCTATCCCAACCACATGGTGAGCAGCAGAGGCTGTACAGCGGGGTACCTGCGTCAAGGCCTACGGACTCCGTATCTTCCCTCACGTGTCTGGACTCTAGAAGTTCGGAAAAGGATCGTCAGCTTTAATGCTACACTTCTGCACAGATGTAACGTGCCAACCTAAGTAGTAATCATAACAATTTCTCAGTAGGATTATGTTAAATTTCCAAGGGTTTTTGTTGTTTTGTGGTTTGGGAGATAAGGCAAGTAGGGACAGATGCTCTCTCGGGAGAGAATGGAATATTCCAGTCCTGTTATCTGAAGAGCTAATGAGGGGCTGAAAATTTATCCTCAGTGCTTTAAGAGGTCAATTCTGTATCATCAGACCAAAAGACCTGGGTGCTTTTACGGGCACCAAGGGAATTCTACATGGTCCCTATTAAAATATCCCAAATATGCACAGAAAAACAAAGACTACTGAGTACTCTAAAAGATGAGTTTTACTCAAATTTTCAAGCAATGAAACAAATACTGATGACAAACACTCAAGGCAGATAAAATGTATTGAAACACGGGTACATATTTAAAAACTGACCTAAAATGAACAGAGCTACTCCACCCTGGGAGAGAAGCATCCTGACTTCCCCCTTCCTCGATGACTACATACCAACCTAACATCATAAACACTCTGATGTGATGCCACAGTACTAAAATGGTAGAAAGGGAGAGCACTTAGTGGGTCCCTTCCCAATCAAAAGGCACCTATGTCTGAGGTAGTTCCCGAGAGAAACAAGACTGACTTAACTGACTTAACGTTCCAGAACACACGTCTCTCACGTGGTAATATTCCTAGCACAATCTGTTTTTTCACCTTACGGGATAACAGGTTACAAAGGACTTTTATATCCTTTCATTTATCCCCTACATGTGTCTGAGCTGGGTGACTACTACCACAACTAATTAGTTGGAGAAGCCAGCTTCAGAGACTGCGTGGCCCGTTCAAGCTCAGCAAGCTCATCAGTGGCAGCCCAGTAATCTTCTCTTGCTGCTCTCTCACTGGGCTTCCATGCTCAGAACGCTTTTAGAACATTAGTTTCAGAAATGACTTTGGAATTGGTTTGTAAACCACATAAGTAATTCAGTCTCAATGTTCCATGAAGCTTAAATTGTATGTATTCAATTTCCAAAATCCAAAATAAAACCAATCCGGCGAAGTCTCAAGATTTTGGCTTGAACGACTTGGCTCAAACAAAAATAAAATGTAATCAATTATCAGCCTTACATATGGGTGTTCAGTTGTCTGCTGAAAAACTGACCTACCATTCTGTCAGATATGAATTCTTTTAAAAATAATTTTTTAATCCTTTGGCTATTGCTAGAATAAGTACACTTTCCTCCCAAGGCGACAAATGGAAGACCAACACCGTTCTGTGGAATATGGTTATGTTGGCTAGTAAATCCACCCCATTTCTCTAGAGATGCCCCTTGTTGTGGCCCCTGCGTCCCGCACCTCTGCCACCCATCATTCTCAAATTGGGAAACACCTAACTACGACAGTCTTTGGTGATTCCCTCACTAAACCCTCCGACTCTGCCCCCCACCGATGTCACGAGGGGGAAAAAGTCAGCTCTGGCAATAGGGGAGGTGGCGTAGGTGCTGGCTGGGCTGCCACGGAAGGGGGAAGTGAAGCTGAAGGATGTGTTCAGTGTGATGCCGTGCGAGCACCCAGGTACTTACTCGTCACTAAAAGGGATCATGCTCCAGAGAAAGGGAACACTCAACAAAGGCTGGCTGGGAACCAGCAGTAAGTGCACAGAGCTACTTATACTTAAATATCAGCCCTAAAGCAGTGAGAATTTCCTCAATGATCGTGCTTTATAATTTGCTAAATAAATTTGAGCAGGGCTAACTGTAATCTCAAACAGCAGAACTGGGGGGAAAGGAGGAGGGGTCTGGTTACCTAAGGATGCATATGACCCGGGAGGCAAGGCTGCTGCTGAGCTGAAAGGCGTAGCTCCCGAGGCCGAAGACACCTTGGACTTGGCACTGGCTGCTGCGTTCACGTCAATATCGCTTCGAGACCGCTGGAGCGATCCGGTCGTTGACACGGATTTGGTGCTAACTGTAGAAGCTTGAGTGGTAAAGAAGGAAACATCAGTAGGGACTACACTAGGATTGTAAATATACATCATTAAAACTTGTTTTGATTTTCTTAACAAGATTTCTTTAAAAAAAAAAAAAAAAAGATAGGCTCCACGCCCAGCATGGAGCCCAATGCGAGGCTTAAACTCACATCCCTGAGGGGCGCCTGGGTGGCTCAGATGGTTAAGCAACTGCCTTCGGCTCAAGTCATGATCCCGGAGTCCTGGGATCGAGTCCCACATCGGGCTCCCTGCTCAGCAGGGAGTCTGCTTCTCCCTCTGACGCTCTTCCCTCTCATGCTCTCTCTTTCTCTCTCTCTCTCTCATTCTCTCTCTAATAAATAAATAAAATTTTAAAAAAAACCTCACATCCCTGAGATCCAGACCTGAGTTGAGATCAAGAGTCGGGACGCTTAACCGACTGAGCCAACCAGGTGCCCCTTCCTAGCAAGTTTTAACAAAGGCTGGAGTGCGTGAGCAATGACGTGCTGTTTTTCCTGGTCACTGGAGACAGTTCAGCCAATGCAATGCTGAGGGAAATTTAGTGACCATGACCATACACACCCATTCCATTTCTTTTCTTGTAATCAAAGACTATAAACCCCAAAGAAACGGCTCCTCTTTCTGGTTAATGTGAGGAGTGAGGTAATGAAAAGGCGCACACATCTGGCCAGTTTCTGCACGATGTGGACTAAGCAGACACCCCGACTCCAATGCCCTCCTGCTCTCGGGGAACATTCTACTCTCCCACCTCTAACAGCCACCGCACTGCTGCTGCTGGGGCTGCTCCAAGCATCACCAGCTGTCCTCACTCTTGTCCAGTGACCGGAGCAAGGGAGCGGCACTATTCGAGTGGAAAGGTCCCAGGGCTCCCCTTCTGCGTGTGTTCCTCACCGCCCTTGGCCGCCGGCGCAGTGGAGCTCTGCTGGGCATAGCTGGAGCACCGAGCAGCAGGCTCTGCAAACCCGAGGGGCACCTGAAAGCAGGTGGCTGGCTTCTGACGGCAGAACAGCCCCTGGGAGCAGCACCGGAAACAGAGGCCTCCCCAAGGGGACCTTCACTATGGCCGTCGGTCTTACCTCTAGAGGTGGTGCTTCCAGTAGGACTTCTTTTGGCAGAGAGCGGCCGGCTGAAAATAAACGTACACGCATGTTCGTTATTACCAAATGTGCACTTCATCTGCGTTCGCCCAACTACTGTCTACAACAGGAAACTAGGATAATGAAGGAATCATTTCAGAGTTTTCCGAATTAACTGGGACCACAATCTTATAAATCCCCGATTTCAGACAAAGCTGCAGCATTCTATTTTGGACTATCTTCCAAACATTCAGAGAGAAGTCATTACTCAAAACAGAAGTTAGAAATCCAGAGTGAGGACGATAATACATTTACTCCCAGATTCCTAACACCCTTCCCCTTTCCAGACTTGTCTTCAAGTTAACCCTCATATTCTCCTAGAAGACCCTGTGAATGATTCACTTATTTCACTCCAACACCGTATTGTAGGGCGGCCATATAAACCTCACTAGCCACTACTTAGGGCAAAGACCGAGGCCACCTTTTCCTTACCATTCCCCAAGAATCTTACCTAGCAGAACCCATCTGAAGTAAGAGGGGACTAGAAGAGGCATATACACATTTAAAAAAAAACCACAGCTGGAATTTGTGTCATGCAGCAAATCTTTCAACATAAAATCTCCCATGAATGAGAAGCACGGCTGAAGTGCTTACTTCAGACTCTCCTGAGAACTCGAGGAGGAGCGGTCAGACTGGGGCAGAGACACGATGCTGTCGGAGTTCTTCAGGTGGGACTGCAGGGCCTTCTGGTAGGAGGACTCGAGGGTGTGGTACAAGTGCTCTGCTTCTCTGCTGAAGTGACTGTGAAAACCCCAGTAGCACCTAGGGGAGACACGCAGCTTGTCGTAGTCAGGATCACACGGGGCTGCTGCCGAATTCTGTGCCCCCCCCCGCCACGCAACAGTCAAGGACTGCGATCCGTGGTGCTCCGCCACTAGGAGCAGCACCGGCTGAGGAAGACGGGGCGGACGAAGGAGGCCTGCGGTGGATCTGGGCCGCACAGCTTACTGGCTCTTCTGACACTGGGCAAGTTCCCGGACTTCTCTGCATCGCAGTCTCACTTATAAAACGGAAACTAAAGGGCCTAACTTGCGAGACTGGGGAGCCTTCAGGACAATGGAGCTAAAACGTCTAGAACTAGACTGAGAACACGGAGGGGGCTCATCCATGGCAGCTTTTATAAAAGCGACTGGACACTTGTCGACCTGAAGTCTTTACAGTTGCCTCAGATAACATGTACGAGAGGCACAAAGATGTGCCGAGCTACTTGAACTCTGCATTGCAGCATGACCAAAGAACCAGAAAGAACTGGGGAGGGGGAAGACACATACAAGGATAAAAACAGCATTAAGCACATGACTAACAACTCCATTCCTAAGAGTTGTGAGCAACTATTAACCACGTCACTTATTTTGGTAGGAACTACCCGAGCTGAGACTGTGATAACCACTTCAGTGTGTCGATGAGCTTCTCCGACCTCAGAAACTGGGGGACAGAATTTAACGGAGAGAGTGGTCCGAGAACGACAGGGACTTTGTCAGGAGGTATCAGTGCAGCTAAGTCAGACGGTAATATTCCAGGTGAGTGAGGAGAGGCTACCTGTGGTCCAGTAGAAGAGCTGGTCATTATGGAAGCATAGAGGCACCACCCCAGGTGCAACATTCACAGCACTCATTTACACATGGCCCAAGACGGCATAAGTCTCAGCATCTGACTCTTGGCTTTTACAGTCACAATGACAAAATTATTCCTCGGAAGGCACCGAATGCATGGTCACAGTCACATGACTGGAGCATGACCTACCTCATGGCAAAAGTGCCTCGCACATGGGATGGCAACTGCAAGTCACCACTGCGGTAATCCCCAGCATCACCTCAACCCACCTGCCCCTCACCACGTTCACACCTTCCCAAGCAGCCACCTGAAGGTCTCAAAGATACCGTCACAGGGGAAGGATCTCTGGGACCATGATTTTTCATAGGAAACCAAAAGGTCCCTTTGGGTTATGACCTGGCTCCTAACAGAGCCTAATGAGTAAGAAAATACATTGAGTGTGCATACAAGTGCTTTTCTGATTCACGTAGTCATTTGTCATAAATTTAAAAATGAGCATGCTGTTGTGTACCTCAGTTCTGCTTATATTCAAGTATATCAATCAGTCTTTCAGGCCTGGGCACCTGAACAACCTTCTAAACAAAAAGTTAGAGAAATATTGTGACATGGCCTTTTGAGGTCGTATTTCAAAGTCACAATTAACAAAACATGTTCATGTAACTTAATGAGTTTTGAATAAGGCAATCTAAACAACACCCTGAAATTTAAAAACAGTGAATTAAAAACAAGCGGTGTACAATAAACACTTACTTTCTGGCTTCTATCCTTGCTTCGGAATCCGCATCATGTATTCCCTTCTTTATTGTTTCAGCTAATACTGATATATGTCTAGACATCAAGAAGAGAAAGCAGTAACAATCATTAACGTGGTTTTATGCGGGTGAAAACTGGTGTGAGAACTTCAAATCGGCACATGGAACCCAGAGCCTCTGTGCCCAGTGAGTCAACCAACATGCAGCTGAGAAATCAGAGCTCCCTTCCCCGTTGCTCTCCTAACTTCTACCTCTATCCCGGGGCACCCCCACCCTCCATCAGCTGCCCCCACCTAACTACCCCAAGTTTTTAAAATAACGGCTGATTCTTCTTACTTCATACTTATTTAGCTCAACCTTTGAGGAACCCAACGAACAAGGCTACAAGTTTCTACCTTTCCATGGCCAGCAGTAGTTTCTATGGAAATTACGAGGTAATAATCATCAGAATACTGGCTCACATTTCTGTAATTAAACACAATGTTTTTTTCAAGTTCCACTATGCAACATGAACAAATTTATAAAATCATGTCACAATTTTATAAATAGGTGTTCTCTTTAGCTTATGTTCTGCCCTGAGAGGAAGTTATTAAAGTGTCTCTTTGAATGTTTGACAGATTTTTAAGAAAAGAAAGAAGGCTGCAATGAGTTAGTATCACAGAACAAAGAGTAGTTACCAATCTTACAGCCTGTTCAGAGTCTTTGCCTCATTCCTTCATTTAGTAACTGTTTAGCAAGTACCCGCTAATTGGTGGATGTTGAGCGAGGAGGCGAATGAATAAATACTAAGTTCTTCACACAGGACTGTTCTACTCACATGTCCTCACATTAAATCCCCCATTCCATTTTCCACCTCTAAATTCCAAAACTGTTGCCAAATAGAAGATACAATACCCAAGAGATGAAAGAATGCACGACTATCTTCTAGATTCGAGGTATTTACAGATGAAATTTTACCCCCAGGAGGCATGGCTTTGTTTCCTCTCTGCCCCCTGCAGTATGGAAAGGGACTCCCAGAAGTACTTCATTAAAATGCCCCTAATAAAATGGTGAGTATGCTGTAAAGTTCCTCACAATATGTAACATTAAAAACTGGGTGGCCCATCATCATCTATCTCTCCAAATTTAACTCACCAAGAATAACAGGCACCTCAAATTCAAAGGAACTGAAAATGGCAAAGAATGAATCTTGAAATTAAGAGACATCCTTCTTCAAGAATCCTGCCGTAATTCTACCTTTTATCATGATGATGTGAAACATACCAACACCAACCTGAATAAAGAGAAAACTGCTGACTTTCCCATTCAGGGGGATCAAAAAGAACTGTGAGATGAGAGAAATTCCTCTAAGGATCTAAGAGTTACACCAGGCCTGCCAAGAGCAGCTTGGAATATTTTCCTGGTTGGAAGGGACAGGAATGTCAGACACCAGGGTGAGAGTCAATAAGGAGTTAACTGTGGCTGACTTCCAGGGAAAATGGCAGAGTAGGAGGACCCTAAACTCACCTCCTCCCACAGATACAACTAGGTATCACCCACATCATTGTAAATACCCCAGAAAACTACCTGAAGATTAGCAGACCAGACTCTGCACAGCTAAGTGTAGAGAAGAGGCCACACTGAAGAAGGCAGGGAGGGCACAGACTTTGTGTAAGAGGGAGAGACACTGGGGACACACAGAGGGGAGAGGACCAAACCCTCACACCAAGCACCCCAGGCACGGGAACCCGCACAAAAACCAGAGGGGCATACTTTTGTGAATTCTTACAATCAGTGGGGCTTAACACCGAAACTTTAAAAATCAGTAGGAGGGAAATAGGAAACTGAGTCCCCACCCTTAAAGAGCACAACAAACAGCCCCTCGGAGATACAGCAATAGAAGCAGCAGTTTGAAAAACACGTGGGGTATACACAAGGGAGATTGCTTTACTGACGTGAGAGCATGAACCAGAGAGGAAGGGATCCCGGGGAGACTTCACCAGGAACAAAGGAGCTGGGGGGCACCATTTGCCTGCCCACCCCAGGGGTTACATAAACACAAACCAGCCAGGCCTTGGTTCCAGGTTTCCCCCTCCACAGTGGACCCACGCAACACTTGCTAACACTGCCTGCGCTGTGGTAACATTCTCCTGGGGTCCCCCCCCCGATACATCCTTGGCCACAACCCATCCAAAGAAGTGCCACAAGCTTGGCAGGATGCAAGCAGCCCCGAAAGGGATGGGTTGGCACCTCTGCAAAGTGACTCCTGCCCTGAGGAGGGGGAAGATAACCGCACACACCAGTCAGACTGTGGCCCCAGCAGTGGGCTGGAGTCAGACAGCTGCTCTAACTGTAGGCACCACCCACCAACAAAAGCTTCTCAGGAGACAACAGAAGGAAAGCGCCCAGCAGTATGGTACTATCGCATCTCGGACAAATGCCCAGTGTGAACGTGACTCAAGCCCAAGCCAGCCCCAGACTGGCCCATGAACAACACAGGGATCCAGTGCTGCCCACAATAGGCAGAGCCACGGCAGAGGACTGGACTGAAAGAAAAAGCGGCTCAGCCACAACATCAGGATACATGCAACACACATTGGAGACACCCCTGCAGTTCCAGTTTGGGTGAACAGGGGACACTGCCCTGCAGGGCACTACAGGACGACTTCTTCATAAGGCAGGAGACAGAGCTGACTTTCCTAACACATAGAAATAGACACAGAGTTAGACAAAGTGAGAAGAAATACATTTCCCCAGTGTAAGAACAGGACAAAATCAGAGCAAGAGACCAAAGCAAAATGGAGATAAATAATATGCCTGATAGAGAATTTAAAGTAATGATCAAAGCTACTCACTGGACTTGAAAAAAGAGTGGAGGACCCCAGTGAGAACCTTAACAAAGAGATAGAAAACATAAAAAAGAACCAATCAGAGATGAAGAACTTAATAACTGAAATTAAAAATACAATCAATGGAATAAACAGACTAGAGGAAGCAGAAGAACGGATCAGCAACTGGAGGACAGAATAATGGGAAGCAATCAAGCTGAATGGGAGAGAGGAAAAAAAATAATAAAAAATGAAAACAGACTTAGGGAACTCAGTGACACCATCAAGCATAGTAACACTTGCATTATATGGAATCCCAGGGGAGAAGAGAAAGAAAGGGGGGCAGAAAATTTATTTGAAGAACTAATAGCTGAAAACTTCCCAAATCTGGGGAAGAAAACAGAAATCCAGATCCTGGAGGCCCTGAGAGCTCCCAACAAAAACAACACAAAGAGATCCACACCAAGACACAGTAATTAAAATAGCAAAACGTAGTGATAAAGACAATTTTAAAAGCAGCAAGAGAAAAAAACAGTTATATACAAGGGAATCTCCTTAAGGCTATCAACTGATTTTTCAGAAGAAACTTTATGGACCAGAAGGGAGTGGCATGATGTATTCAAAGTGCTAGGGAAAAAAAAACAAAAACAAAAGACAAAACAAAACAAAAAACCCTTCAGCCAAGAATACTCGGTCTCTCCTCTTCCAAATGACAGCCTTGCTGGATAAAGTTTTCCAGACAAATGAAAGTTAAAGAAATTCATAACCCCTAAACCAGCCCTACAAGAAATGTTAAAGTGGGCTCACCAAGTGGAAAGGAAAGACCATAAGCAGGAATAAGAAAAGTAGGAAGCATAAAAGCAGTAAAATTAAGTACAGCTATAAAAATCCGTCAAGCGATTCATGAAATAAAAGAGTAAGTATGACACCATATACCTAAAACGTGGAAAGAGAGGAGTAAAGAATGGGTTCAAACTGAAGCAACTATCAACTTTAGACTGCTATATGCACAAAATGTTATATATAAATTAAAAACTAGTAAAACCATAAATTAAACACCAGTAATACATATACAAAAAAAAAAGAGAGAGAGAGAGAAAGGAAGCCGAGTGTACCGCTAATGAAAGCAAACCATGAGAGAAGCGAGCAGGAACAGAAAGGAACAGAGAAAAACTACATAAACAGTTGTAAAGAAGTAACAAAATGGCAATAAGTACCTATCAATAACTACTTTGAATGTAAATGGACTAAAACCTCCAATCCAAAGACACAGGGTAACAGAATAGATAAAAAGCAAGACCCATTTATATGCTGCCTACAAGAGACTCATTTCAGATCTAAAGACACACACATACTGATAGTGAAGGGACAGAATAGCATCTACTACGAAAACGGAAGTGAAAAGAAAGCTGGAACAGAACACTTATAACAGACAAAATAGACTTTAAAACAGTATACAATCTGGGGTGACTGGGTAGCTCAGTCAGTTAAACATTTGACTCTTGGTTTCAGCTCAGGTCATGACCTCAGGGTTTTGGGATTAAGCCCCAGGTCAGACACTGTACTGAGCTTGGAGCCTGCTTGAGATTCTCTCTCCCTCTCTCTCTGCACTCCCCCACTCGCACCCTCTCTTTCTAAATAAATAATCTTGGGGCGCCTGGGTGGCTGAGTCGTTAAGCATCTGCCTTCAGCTCAGGTCATGATCCCAGGGTCCTGGGATCGAGGTCCACATCAGGCTCCCTGCTCGGCGGGGAGCCTGCTTCTCCCTCTCCCACTCCCCCTGCTTGTGTTCCCTCTCTCGCTGTGTGTCTCTCTGTCAAATAAATGAATAAAATCTTTAAAAAAATAAATAAAAAATAAATAATCTTTCCAAAAAAAAGGGCAGTATACAATCATAAAGGGTCCAATCCAACAAGAAGATGTAACAATTGTAAATGTTTATGCACCCAACATGGGAGCATTCCAATACATAAAATAGCTAATAAGAAGCAAAATAAGGGAAGTAATTGATAGTAATACAATAATAAGGGACTTTAACAACCCATTTACATCACTGGATAGATCATCCAAAGAGAAAACCAACAAGGAAACAGTGGCTTTTAATGACACATTGGACCAGATGGATCTAACAGATATATTCAGAACATTCCATTCTAAAACAGCAGAACACACATTTTTTTCAAGTGCACACAGAACATTCTCCAGAATATACCACATATTAGGCCACAAAACGAGTCTCAATGAATTGAAAACAATCAAACTCATACTATGACTATGCATCTTTTCCAACCATAACATTATTAAACCAGAAATCAACCACAAGAAAAACTGGGAAACACCACAAATAAATGGAAGCTATGTAACATGCTCCTAAACAATGAGTGGGTCAACCACAAAATCAAAGAGGAAATAAAAAAAATAACATGGAGACAAATGAAAATGAAAACACAACAGTCCAGAATCTTTGGGATGCAGTAAAAGCTGTTCTAAGAGAGAAGTTTGTAGAATATAGGTCTACCTCAAGAAGCAAGAAAAATCGAAAATAAACAACCTAACAAAACCCAAAACTAGTTCTAGTTGAAGGAAGGAAATAATAAAAATTAGAACGAAATAAAATAGAAATGAAAAATACAGATCAATGAAACTAGGAGCTAGTTCTTTGAAAAGATCAACAAAACTCATCAATATTTAGCTTGACTTATCAATATAAAACGAAAGAAGACTCAAACAAAAGCAGAAACAAAAGAAGAAAAATAATAACCAACACCACAGAAATACAAAGGATTATGAGATTATGAAAAATTATATGCCAACAAACTGGACAACCTAGAAGTAGATAAATTCCTAGAAACCTGTAACTCCCTAAAACTGAAGCTGGGAGAATTAGAAAATCTGAACAGACTGATTACCAGCAAAGAAATTGAATCGGTAATCCAAAAACTCCCAACAAACAAAAGTCCAGGACCAGATGGCTTCACAGGTGAATTCTACTGACTCGTCAAAAAAGAGTTAATAACTGTTCTTCTCAAACAATTCCAAAATACAGAAGAGGAAAGAAAGTTTCCAAAACTCATTCAATGAGGCCAGCATTACCCCTATACCAAAATCAGATAAAGACTACAAAAAAAGAGGGGTGCTGGGATGGTACAGGCAGTTAAGCATTCAACTCTTGATTTTAGCTCAGGTCACGATCTCACGGCGGTGAGATCGAGCCCGGCGTCTGGCTCCACGCTCAGCATGGAGTTTGCTTGAGATTCTCTCTCTCCCTCTGCCCCTCCCCCAGCTCATGCACTCTCTCTCTCTCTCAAAATAAATATTTTTCTAAAAAAAAAAAAGACTACAAAAAAAAAGAACTACAGGCCAGTACCCTGATGACACATATGCAAAAATCCTCAACAAAATACTAGCAAATCAAATCAACAATACATTAAAAACATCATTCACGGGCGCCTGGGTGGCTCAGTTGGTTAAGCGACTGCCTTCAGCTCAGGTCATGATCCTGGAGTCCCGGGATTGAGTCCCACATCGGGCTCCCTGCTCAGCGGGGAGTCTGCTTCTCCCTCTGACCCTCTTCCCTCTCGTGCTCTCTCTCTCTCTCATTCTCTCTCTCTCAAATAAATAAAATCTTTAAAAAAAAATTAAAAAAAATAAAAACATCATTCACCACCATCAAGCAGGATTCCTAGGATGCAAGGGTGGTTCAATATTCACAAATCAATTAATGTGATACATCAAATTAACAAGAGAAAGAATAAAAACCATGCAGTCATTTCAATAGATGCAGAAAAAAGCAGTTGACAAAGTACAACATCCAGTCATGATAAAGAAACCCTCAACAAGGTAGGTTTAGGGGGAACATACCTCAACATAGTAAAGGCCATATATGAAAAATCCACAGCTAGCATCATCCTCAATGGTGAAAAACTGAGAGCTTTTTCCCCAAGATCAGGAACAAGACAAAGATGTCTACTCTCACCACTTTTATGCAACACGGTACTGGAAGTCCTAGCCACAGCAATCAGATGGGAAAAAGGAATAGAAGGCATCCAAAAGTGTAAAGAAGAAGTAAAACTTCCACTACTTCCAGATGACATGATACTTAAACACAGAAAACCCTGAAGACTCCACCAAAACCTACTAGAACTAATAAATGAAGTCGGTAAGGTCGCAGGATATAAGATTAATATATAGAAATCTATTACATTCCTACAGACTAATAATGAAGCAGCAGAAAGACAAATTAAGAAAATAATCCTATTTACAACTGCACCAAAAAGAATAAAATATTTAGGAATAAACTTAACTAAGGAGGTAAAAGAGACCTACTCTGAAAACTATTTAACACTGATGAAAAGAAACTGAAAATGATGCTCTCTCTCCCCTCTCCTCCCCCACCTCCCCTCTCTGTTTCTCTCTCTCTCTCCCTAAAATAAGAAAAAAAAAATGGAATAAGGACCTAAATAGGAGACCTGAAACCATAAAAATTCTAGGAGAGTACACAGACAGTAATTGCTGACATTGGCTATATAACAACATATTTCTAGATGTCTCCTGAGGCGGGGGAAACAAAAGCAAAAATCAACTATTGGTACTATATCAAAATAAAAAGCTTCCGCACACAAAGGAAACTGTCAACAAAACTAAAAGACAATTAAATGGGAGATGATATTTGCAAATGACATATTCAATAAAAGCTTAGTATTCAAAATATATAATGAACTGATATATCTCAACACCCCCCAGAAAAAGAATTAAAAAATGGACAGAAAATGTGAACAGACATTTCTCCAATGAAGACATCCAGATGGCCAACAGACACATAAAAAGAAGCTCAAAATCACTCAACAAGGAAATGACAATCAAAACCACAATGAGACGCCATTTCACACCTGTCAGAATGGCTAAAATAAAAAACACAAGAAACAACAGGTGTTGGCGAGGATGGGGAGAAATAGGAACGCTCGTGCACTGCTGGTGGGAATGCAAACTGGTGCAGCCACTGTGGAAAACAGTATGAAGGTTCCTCAAAAATTTAAAAGTAGAAATACCATATGATCCAATAATTCCACTACTGGGTATTTACCCAAAAGTTATAAAAACACTAATTCAAAAAGATATATGCACCCCTATGTTTATTGCTGCATTATTTAGAATAGCTAAATTATGGAAGCAATTCAGGTGTCCATCAACTGATGAATGGATAAAAAAGATGTGGTATGTGTATATAACACACACACACACACACACACACAATGGAATATTACTCAGCCACAAAAACGAATGAAATCTTGCCATTTCCAACAACATGGATGGATCTAGAGTATAATGCTAAGTGAAATGTCAGTCAGAGAAAGATACCACATGATTTCACTCATACGTGGAATTTACGAAATGAAACAAAGAAAAAGGCAAACTAAAAAACAGACTCTTAACTACAGAACAAACTGGTCGTTACTAGAGGGAATGTGGGGGGATGGGTGAAATAGGTGAAGGGGATTAAGAATTCACTTATGACGAGCACTGACTAATGTAGAGAATTACTGAATCACTATGTTGTACACATGAAATATTACATGGTATGTTACCTATACTGGAATTAAAAAATAATTTAAGGAAAAGGTTAATCGTAGCTTTGTGGCTGGCAGGGTGCACATCTGTCCACATCTCTAGGCACACTAAAACTGCAACCAATGTAATTCACTAAAAGTTCCTGCCAATATTATGATCTTCACATCGGTAGAAATAACAGATGTAGTCGTGCAAACAAATGCTTAGATTCCTTCGATTCTCATAAAAAGCAGGTTGGACCACTTGTTGGGGCATTAAATCTCAAGATTCATTTCAGAAGGAAAAAAACCCTGCAAATCAAATGCTTACCGTTCCAGTGAATGTGTCTGCCACTCTTGTAAAAGTAAATCTAAAAATTCAAAACAGCGCCTAAAAATTGTAAAGAAAACATGTAACTCAGTCATTTTTATGTTAGTGAAAATAAAAGCTTTTTTTTCTTCCCACACTACTTTTTAGAACTGGTAAATTTCTTCTAATTATTAGGATTCAAAACATGGAATATAAAGTTGGAATCGGCACTGACTGAAAACCCAAGCAAGTAAAAGTAATTAAGCATCTATGGTGATCAGAAACAAAAATCATTCAAACATATAAGAGACAGGATACAAAAGCTCCCCTCAAATCAGAAACTGGAACTTCATGGCAACATTACAGAAAGGGCCTATCACTGTCATTGTTTTTATACTATCTCAAATAATATGTTAATACGGGATGTACATGAGCAAAAAAGATCAGCGTACCTTATTATAGAATCAGGGAACTGGTCTTTGCACTAATTTCACAGAATGCCTTGTGCAATAAATGTAAAAGAAAAAAAGTCCTGGGCGCCTGGGTGGCTCAGTTGGTTAAGCGACTGCCTTCGGCAGTCCTGGAGTTCAGGATCAAGTCCCGCATTGGGCTCCCTGCTCAGCAGGGAGTCTGCTTCTCCCTCTAACCCTCCCTCCTCTCATGTGCTCTCTCTCTCTCTCAAATAAATAAATAAAATCTTAAAAAAAAGAAAAAAAGTCCTGAAAAACAAAGTGCTTTCCTTTCCAAATTTTCCAAATTTTCCCAAAAAGGTCCTAGGTAGTGCTTAAAATAGATTTTTCTCTAACTACTCCTCTATTTTCCTCTTTAATCTTTCAACATCCTTTCTTGTCAAGACTTTCCACTTTTGTAATCTTTCTCGATCTGATTTGTGCACAAAAACAATTCTGGTCTCATCTCCTTTGGATTACATCACCACTTTGGGTTCTACCTCTTTATAACTTTTCAGACATCCAGGGTGTTTATCTTTGCAGGAGTATATCTTAATGGTCTTAGGAACTCACTCAAGCAAACAAATCAGAGAGTAATTTTTTTCTAATGACCAGACTTTCATTCCCATGGTCCTCCCAATTCAAAACCTCATAATCCATATAATTAATCACTCATTAAATCTTTAATAAACCCTAACCCTACCCTAGAGGCTACAGATAACAGTGGTAACCAAGACATAAACCAGCAAGCAAGCCAGACAAGGAACAGTTCCCACGTGCCAGGAACACAAGGGGGCTCTTCTTAGAAGCACACAGAAGAGCTATTCAACCCAGTCCCAGGGCTGGCAGCAGAGCGCGCGTGCGTGCGTGCACGCGTGTGTGAAACGTTGGCTGTGAGGCAGACTTTGACCCACACCCACACCGTCTCCTCTCTGTCACTCTCCCCACCCCAGCCTGAACCAGGGCCATGTTTATTCTACCTTCTTCCCTGTTCCTCATGTCATTTCCTGGGCTGATTTTTGTCTCTTTTTCTTTTTTAAAAAATGTGTGTGCATTTGTTTATATTTATCTATCTCTTAGTGAATAAAAAGTCATCTTTGATGCTAATTCTGGTCTTAAATGTGTTTTAGAACAATCTGTTTAATCAAAAATATGACCTATAAGCTAAGTTTTATTTTCCACTTTTTAGGCTAACATACAAAGAAGCAGTATCAATACTGGAACTGTTTAACTCATTATTTAAACACATCAGGTTAGGACTTGTCTCTTTTCTTTACCTACTCCTACTCATCATTCAAAATGCAGCTCAGTTTTCAACTTGTCTATGAAGCATCACAGAAATATATTAGCTGGTTTTAATCACTGCTCTCTGAATTCATTCTAAATTCCCCAGTACAGGTGTTATAACTCACTCTTACATTGCTTTGCATTATTGTTTTTAATCTCCCCATCTAAATGATAAATTTCTCAAAGGCAGGGAGACTGTGCAGGCCATTTCTTACAAATTCTACAAAGTAGAGCTAGGTACAGGCTGAGTACGACAGAGAAAACACACCGCTTGGGTTACACTGCCCTCTTTGGTTCTCTTTACCTTTCTGAAGGCAGAGGGACTGGATGTCCCTTTTAGTTCTTTCAGCATTAAGACACACTGTTCTGACTGATGCAGACCCTGACTAATGTAAGAACAGCAATCCGAGCGTGTGACTCAGGAAGCTGTGAAGGGGTGACATTTCTGTAGTCACAGTAAATGCAGGTTACCAGTCGTTTAGCACCAGAAGCCAGAACTGTTAAATTCTGCGGACTGAATGGTGTTGCCCCAAAATTTGTATGTTGAAGCCCGACCACCCAACATGATGGTATCTGGAGATGGGGCCTTCAAGAGGTAATTAGGTTCACATGAGGTCATGAAAATGGGGCTCTACTGATGGGGCTGGTGCCCCTCTAAGAAGAAACCCCAGAGAGCATGCTCTCTCTGTGTCTCTCTCTGTCATGTGAAGACACAGCGAGAAGGCAGCCACCTATAAGCGACCCTCATTAGAACTCAACCATGCTGGCACCCTCATCCCAGACTTCCAGCCCCAGAACTGTGAGAAAACCAATTTCTGTTGTTTAAGCCACCCAGTGTATGGTATTTTGTTATGGCGGCCCGAGCTAATAAGCTAAACATCCTGTAACATTCTACAGCAAAGATCTGTGTCACTATATCAGAGGAACTTGGCCTAACACACTTTGAATGTCTTGGAAAACCTAAAACAATACTGACAATAATAGCAGGAGCAGCAACAAAATCTAATAATGGGTATCATTTATTTAGGTTGCACGAAGCGTCAAATCCCTCCACCCAATGACTGAGCCCACGGAGGAGCTCTGCCCCAGCGTACTCTTGTTCCAAGCAGGTCAGAAGATTAGTTAGTGGGGTAATGCTTAGTCAGGGGTAATGCTTCAGCTGCAGTCGGCCAGGTTCTGAAGTTCACTACCGTCCCTCTCCCCTGCTGACTTCACACTCTCATCTCTAGAAGCAGCAGCAAAACTGGAGGTAAAGGGCAGACCGCATTCCTCAGCGACACACAAGGGAGCCACGCCATTAGAACTTAAGCTTTTTCAGTGGAAGGTGCCAATTCCTTCCTTCCTGGCTTTATAAAGGTGGATGATTCCCCTTTCCTCCTTCATGACTTCCACGGAGCTGTTAATAAGATGGATAGGGGGCTGCCTCATGCATGGCAGGCATCCCTACCCAGGCAAACGGGGCGGGACCTATGGGACATGCCAGGAAAGGAGGAAAATGGTGGGCAGCGAATGTAAGCTGGGCTCCAAGCTTGGAGTGAAAGGCTCTTTCACTGGGCCAGGATCAGAAAACAAACTCAGGAGGCTGGTATCCAAGCTGGCCGTTAATTTACCCTATGAAGCTCCTGATACAATCCACTGAGAGGCTTCAACAGTGTCCATAAATCCCCTGAAAATCTACACTAAACTATTCTGCATATTTACATCTTCTTGGGAAGAGGGGCCACAGATTTTATTAGACTCTCAAGAGTCAAGAACCATGGATTCCAGCTAGAAGAAGCCTTATTCCTCGCCTGTGATCTAGGGCAGCTCACCCGGACACAAGACCAGGCAGGGACCTGGGAACAAAGACCTAGCTAGCTAACCAGGTGGTATCTGCCAGATAGATCTCCCACAACTGTGCAGCAGAAGCAGGTGCTGGTCAGGATTCAGAAGCCCAGAAATCACTGTCGGAAGACGGAAACAGATACCTCCTCCTACCACCGGTAATATTAAATAGATGCCATTAATTTTTATAATGGTCTTTTTCTTGCACGCAGTTACTGCTTCATTCAGAGAAGGGTACACCGATGATTTAGGTATAGGGACCGAGAAAAAAATGTACACCCCCCCTTCCATTAACTCACATACATACAGACACATTCTCTGTCTACCCTCCCTTCTCTCTTGCTCTCTCTCACATACACACACACACACACACACACACACACAAATAGAGGTTGTGCAAATTTAAAGGCATTTATTGCAACGATCTTATATAATTTTAACATTTCAAACGTGAATACTTTCATGGAGGCAAATTTGGAATTTATTTTGGTTTTTAAACCATTCAAAAATAATGAGGAAGCTGTTTAAAAATTTACCTTCTAACTGCGACAGACTTAGAGGTACAGTTGCTTGTTATGACAGGTATTAGCCTAGGGATGTGTGTGTGCTGCAGAGAAGAACAAAAACAGAGGTGAACACCTGAAAATACGAAAATAAAATAAAACTAAGACAGCCACACTTCCTGATTAAACTACCTAAAGCACATATAGATTTAGATTAGAATTTCACTGAGCTTAAAAAGGAAAAAGAATTTCACTGGATACTGCCAAAGGCCATCACAACATTTACAAAGCCTCAACAGACCACCCAATGATATATAAATAAACCTCACGGCAAAACAAACCATTGGCAGGAAGTCTAAACTATCTAGCAGTAGCGATCTAAGTGAGTTCAAAAGGAATCTGCAGACAGATTTGTGTTTTGATACAGTTTCAATGGGAATGCCCAACAATGGCTTTGGATTTAATATTTCAAGTAGGCAGTGCAAATAGTAGGAACTAAAAATAATACAACTAAGTGACCCACGATAACCAGTAATATTCTGGAAAGATTTTAGCATCACCAAGTCCCAGTTTCAAGGGCTGCCTCTGGGGAAAAGAGACTTGAAGGTAGGAAGAAGGTGACGTGCAGCATATTCATTTTAAGCTTCTGTGAACTATTAAGTTTTACTGAAAACTGGCACATAAATTACTTGGATAATTATTTAAACTTAAATGAGTGTTTAGAACACTGAAAAGAATCTTTTATTCATTGGCTTAAACACAATTAATTAAATAAAAACTTTAGGTGAATAACAAAGCCACAAGCACAAATACCTAAAGTGGAATGAAAGGGAATTAAGGAGTAATATCTGGAGACATAAAGACTGGGTGTAAACCCAGAAGCAGATGCTCAAATATTTAAAGCCAATGATGAGTAAATGATCAACACATCAGCAGGCAAACACCATATCCATAATTCACATTATGGAATGTAAAAAGCTCATATAGGATATAATTAAGGAAGGGGAGAGGCTGATTTATATCTACAATATGATTCCAACTATTTATAATCATGCTAATGAAAAATGCCTCTCGGGGCGCCTGAGTGGCTCAGTTGGTTAAGCATCTGCCTTAGGCTCGGGTCATGATCCTAGGGTTCTGGGATTGAGCCCCGCGTCGGGCTCCCTGCTTAGTGGGGAGCCTGCTTTCCCCTCTCCTCCCCACTCTTGCTCTCTCTATCTCTATCTCTGTCGCTGCCTCTGTCTCTCTAATAAATAAATAAAATCTTAAAAAAAAAAGAAAGAAAAATGCCTCTAATATTGCTTATCAACCACCAATGTTTACCACTTGCTTATTCTATGTATGGCCCCAAAATATACTTACCCGAATGATTAACCTAACAGCTACAACACCGGATGTGGCCATAATTTTGGCACTATTTGGAATTAAATTAAAGATAGTTGGCATAATGGCTTCAGCTCCATGGTCAAACTTATTCCCCAGAACTGATGACAGATGCCTACAATAAGAAATGAAAACTGTACTGTAGTTGTATTTCTTGCAAACAGCGAAGCATATAAACCTCTTAACATCGCAGGGCTTTCATTTAAAGTTATCGAGATAAAAAGCAAGGGTCTAAGTAAGATACTTTCAAAGTATTTCCAACGTGCACGCAGTGGACTTGGCAAATAGCCAATGGCCCATGAGTTTGCTCCTTTTATTTTTTTAAATAAATCATTTCCAACTAGTCTTAAAATAGCAAAAGACAAACTGATCATACCCTAATAAAATATAAATATGAAAAAGCTCCCTCACCCTTTTTTCCTTTTGCCCCATTAAAAACCTTTGACACATAATATACATGCTTCCATATCTGATACTTTCAACAGCTGCAGCGTCTCCTTCCTGTAGCTGCTTTGATATTCGGACACACTTTCTTACACAGAAGTTCCAGCTTCAAACACGGATAACAGGTTTAGCGAGGGTAAAATTTCACTGTAGTATATGCCTTTGACTTTAACTTTATAGCTACAGTGCACTTCTGGAAACAAACAAAAATTCTGATAATCATGCTATATCCTGCCAGCAGAATCAATGAAAAAGCTGAGAAACAGAGTTTGTAAAATTTCTTCTTTCTGTGTTATTAATAATAACTGCTTCAAGTTTAAAACAGGTTCAGAGCTAAGTCACTGAATAAAACTGAAAATCTGTCACTCTTTCCGTCACTGGGCAGGAAGCACTGTAATAGTGTAAAAGTACCAACAGAAGCATAAATGGAACAGGTCCCAGAGACTAGTCAGAAGGTACTTAAAGAGACCTGCTGGGCATATTCAATGGACCATCTCAGAAGCGCTGCAACGAGGCTATTTTAGGATGTGTGAGAATCTGAAGCATGGTAGTCCTTACCCCAATGTGATACAAGCCTCCCGCACTACCTGAGACCGCAGGTCCTTAGCAGATAGTTTAAAGGCTCCATCCAAAAGACGCAAATGTTGAAAGAAGTTATCATACTCAGCAGCACCAGCCAAAAGTAAAGATCTTATCTTTTTTAGCTGATGGGATAGAGAAAATTCAGAGATACACAAAACAATTCTTAAAACAGTATATACAAAACAACAGAAGCCATCAAATATGAGAGATCAGCATCAAAATTAACTGATATCAGAAGTTCTCCCAAAAGAATTCAGCCCATTCAGTATCAGCTACTGTACTGCATAAATCTACATATCACAAATAAGAACAAATTATTTTTATATGCAGTATCTTACAATTCTACAAAACGTATCTCTTCATTGGAAAACATTTTAGTGTATTTATAGATTCTGTGCTAACGATAAAACACCAAAGCCTTCATTTTAATTCCTCCCCTAAAGCTTACCTTCCCCAACAACTGACTCCAACTGCCATTCGTTTAATGAATCAAAGGAAGAAGCAATCCTATAGTCTTTTATATACTATCCTCCACTGTATCACTATTAAAAGACTAGTCTGAGTTTGAATGGAATATAGCAGTAATTTAATCACCTCACTTCCTGCCAGCCAACCACTGGAAAATAGCTTTCCACAGGTAAGACACACCCTCATTTTAATGTTCACCCCACTTTTCATTCATCCACTTTTTTAAATAGAAGGGACAGAATTTTCCAGCAAGTGATATGAAGAAAGAAAGGAAGAGAGGGACACATACTGAAAATGCCACTAAGAAAAGTCGACTTACTGGCCAACAATCACAATTAAATGTTGACTAAGGCAAGAGTGGAGGCTGTCTCCAGATGCTCCACATTAGGTCTTTGTTAAAAGTACAGGACATACATAAAGGCATAGGTTGGCATGTTTTAGAAACAGAAATAGAAATAGAAGTGAGGTACTCTACTAAAAGGGTTAAATGTAAATATGGTAACTTATATTTAAAATACTTACTACTTAAAATTCATCAGAGCTGTACCCCAATTGCATAATTAAGTATTTAGAACATTTAAATAAATCCAATGAAAATGTAATCACATGAAGTCAAAGCTTACAGCATTTACTCTTTGCTCCCAATCATGCTTGTCGTCAGATAATATTTCCCTAATCTTGTTTATGGATTCCTCAAGATCTCGGCTGGAATAAATCTGTAAGCAAAATTAATTTACAACCAATATAAGAAAATCTACAGAATAAACAAAGATTAGTTTTTAATTACACAAAGTCAAGAGCTTTTAGGAAGTATAGTTAAAAAAAAAATTCATTTTTCAGAAGGACCTATGAGATAACACCTAGACAGATTTGTCTTAGAATGAGCTTCTTTCCCAATGTGAATACATACCCACTAGATTCGATGCCAAGTATGGATAACCATGCTTCAAACACAGCTTTACTATAAACTTAACGGATGATTTCATGTACAGAAGAGAAAGAAGCCAGCTGGGGAATGATCAGTGATGCTCAGGTCATTTATTATTCGTAGTATTATTTATAACACCACACTCTCTTCAGATCTCCTTTCTCATTTATGCTCACATCTTACTAGTAAGATAGGTAGGGGAATAATCAGCCAAGAATGATGCAAGCTGGGAAGGTCAAGGACTTAAGGATGAGCCTGAGCCTACAATGCCAGCTACCTGATTTATACACATATGGCAACCCAGCAGCAGGTAACAAGTGATCACATGGACATTAGTGCTATAGGAATATGGAGCACCACATTCGATGTAGGCTGAGGAAAAGTGTTATTAGCCCCCAGTCAACTATGGACAACACTGAGGCACAAAGCAGTTAAAATGTGTGTACCCCAACCTCACAAGCAATCTCTGCTTTGTCTATTAGGGACTTAAGTGAAGCATCAAGATGGCATAAACTTGAGCTTTTATTAATCCATTCTCTATAGCTTTTCAGACACACAGTTCCTTGAAATTTACAACTTGTCCGAAAAAAAGAAAGTCCCTAAATAAGCATGCTTCTTTATTCTCACACCTAATCTAATCATTGCATTTTCTCATTTACCTGACCTAACCCACAAATTTATTATTAGAGCAAGCAAGCAACTTCTCTCCAATTCTTACTGAAAGACTACCTTGGGTCTTGACTTTTGCTCTTCATTTCAGCTATAAAAGGCACCAATGTTTTCTACTCTGCAACCGCAGGTCTCCTGTAGTCCTGAGAGTTAAAATTACCTCACCTAGGAAGGGACTTTACATATCACCTATTTGAAAACTGAAATCTGAAGAGTCTTACCTGTTTTTAATCAAACTCAAATATCCTCACTCACCTGCACTACAGGTACATCATCAAATGCTTTAATAAAGTCCTCTTCATCAACAGCACCAGCTCCTTCTTTTGCAGCTTTAAATAAGATTAATTTTTAAAAGGTGAACAATGCGCAGAGGGGTAGTCTGAATATACACAATCACCATTACATTTTGGAAGATGCGTAACTATTTTTCTAAAGGCTTAATAAAAATTCAGAGTGTTGTGGAACTGACAAACATTACTAACTTTTAATATCAAGATGAAATGTAGAAATTCTGCAATACTATATACATTAGTGTAAAGTCACTTAAAGAGACTACTGGCTAAGGAAGACATTTAGCCTTTAAGGATATAGACAGCTTATACTGTAGTCATGTCTGAATCTTTTGACAGGTTCCTAATAAACAGATATATAACAAAAAATTTAATTTTTCAGGGAATAAATTAGGTTGTGTTACTGTTAGGCAACTAGCATAATAAATTTGTGAAATATTCAAATAAGTTCTAAAGAATTTAACAGTTTCACTTCTACTTTGTATTAGGTCTCAAAACATTTCCATTTCCTTGAATGCATGATAACTCAATTTTTCACTTACACATCAGGTGCAACTTTCCCTCATAAAGGTGTTATAAGATGCTCTGTATACTTGAAAGTTGATTGCTATCATTTGGAAGAGAGTTTTTTCTTTTGCTAATATGAACTCTACTTCACACAAGAAAATCGTGTGACATTTTATCAGACCTTTTTTTTTCCCCCAGAATAAAGGTTTCAAAATTGGAGTCTGTGGTCATCTTGCAACACTCATTAATGATTTACACTGATTAGTTTGAGTGCTTCTCCTGAGTTTTCTCGCAGACAAGTTATTTGATGTTTGGGGTCCCCATGGACAACACAGGGCTTTAAAGACGACTCTGGGAGCAATAAATGTGTGTCCTCACTTTTGATGAAGATTCCTCACACTGAGTTCACAAGCTAACTGTGGACAGCGGACAGTAACGTCACACTGTGATGTCGTGCTCAGTGCCTGTTTTGGTGAAAAGACTGGATCCTCCCGAGCAGACGGGTCCTGAGCGCCGCCCCGGGTAAGTGCCACACCACGTACCCACGTACTGAAAGGGACTCAGAGACCAACCATGCTCCGTGGGCCCCAGAATTAGACGAGGAGTCAGTAAGCAAATTCATGACTATGTTGTTAAACAAAACGGGAAAAAAAGGATGAAAGCAGGGCTGAGCTCTCTACATAATCTAGAGTTGGGACTTCTGGAAGGGATGTATGGGTGAGGGGCAGGAAAGAAAGAAAAAAAGTGGTCTGATGATACACAGAAATTTTCTAAGCCTTGTTTGTGGAACTGATACGTCCCAAGTATAGATTTTTGTAAATAAAAGATTAGAAAGGTTTTTCAGTCATAAAAAGGAATGAAGTACTAATACATGCTACAACACAAATGAACTGCAAAAACACTATGCTAAGTGAAAGAAGCCAGACACAAAAGATCACATATTATATGACTCCATTTCTATTAAATACCTAGAATGGGCAAATGCATAGAGGCAAAATGCAGACTGCTGATTGCCAGGGGCTGGAGGATGGAAGAGATGGGGAGCAACTGTTTAAAGGGTCCGGGGCTTCCTTTAGGGAGTGGAGAAGCTCTTCTGGAATTAGACAGAGGTGATAGTTGCACAACACTGGGAATATACTAAATGCAACTGGACTGTGACCTTTAAAATGGTTAACTTGATGTTTTGCGGATTTAAACTCAATTAAAAAATTTTTTTTAATGCATCAAAAAAATTTAAAAAATAGAAAGGACCAAGAATACCAATAAACACACAGCTTTTCCTTCTGCCATCCATGGTGTGAATATCCCTGTCAGCCAGGAGCACAGCTCTTCTAACATGGACAGAGAAGCTGGTAGCAGAGGCGCTGCGGGGACACCGAGCTGACCAAGGAAGACCCCAACAGTCTAGGACCAGTGCAGAAAGCCAGAAAGACCACCAGACGGAGACAGCATTCTAAAGTCAATCCTTACCCCAGTTTTAATTAGCTCATCCAGCGAAGTTCAAAAGCCCAATGCTAACAATCAGAACAGTTCTAAAAACAGTGGCTACACAATTTGAAGTTAAAAAGAAATTTGCATGTCAACTTAAAATGTGACAGCAAAATGCAAGCTGTATATAATAAGGACTCAAACTGTCTAAATTGGGGGCTGGCAGAGGAGGGATTTAGAGGACGACATCTTTGTAAGTCAATGCTCATCTCTACCATTTACTTAGGCCAACGTCCATACACTGGTCTCACAAAGAATAACGCTACTTAAAGGAACAAAATACATTTTAGGGACAGAAGGCACAGCATCTGACTTCTGGATAGTCTCAGTGTTGGTTAAGTAGAAGTTGGCAAAAAAAAAAAAAAAAAAGGCCTCATGGTAATTTCAGGCATTGCTGGAGCCCCATAAATAAAGCCATAGGGCACACTCGAGCTCTGTCTCCGAGCTCTAGCTTGCCTCTGCGCTAGCCATATTCTCCTACGGGCTCCCCCATACCAAAACATTGGCAACACAGCAGCTCAAACTTCTACCCTATCAGCTATCAGCATGGACAGCACAGTGCTAACTTAAAAAACAGCAAGCAGAAATTTGTTGCCAACAGAATCACTTTACTCCTGAAGGACATAGAAGGGAAGCACATGCACATCTGGTTTTAAACACTGGCAGAGCCAACCCCAGAGCACGCCGAGGGGGTTGTTCTTACCTGAAGACTTGGATCCGAGAGTGGATGACCCAAGCCGGCGGGTGGTCCCCATTCCAACGTTTCTCCGTGAGCTGGGCGGAGCTTTGGACGATGTAGAACTAGCAGAGGAAGGTCTATTACCGTCCACAGAATCTTCATCATCAAAATTTTTATCTGAAGAGTAAGCAGAGAAATAACTGTTTAAAAAAAAAAAAGAAAGGTACTTTTCCACCCGAATGTAAAACAACAAACTAGCCTTAGAGAGATGAATGGTGTGCCTACTTTTGGGATCTGAGGTGCCAGCCCAGGGTCTAGAAAGGTCTTAGATAAGTCCAGAATGCAGATACAAACATCATGTTTGCTTTCACATATCTAGAATGCACTCCTGCTCTCATTTTGGAAAACAGAGAAAAATAAAGAACAATCTCTTATAAAAACCACCAACTAAAAACAGTTACTTTAACATTCTGGCGTATTTCTGACCATTCTTGCATGCATTTTTTTTTTAAAGATTTTATTTTATTTGAGAAAGAGAGAGAGCACAAGAGGGGGTAGGGTCAGAGGGAGAAGCAGACTCCCTGCCGAGCAGGGAGCCCGACTCGGGACTCGATCCAGGGACTCTGGGACCATGACCCGAGCCGAAGGCAGTTGCTTAACCAACTGAGCCACGCAGGCGCCCCTGATGCATTTTTCAATAACACCTGACACTAGGCTACTTATCATTTGGTATTTTGCTTATTTCAAATATGTGCATTTTTCCATGTGATGAAATATGCTTCATAAACACCGTTTTAATGGTTGCTTGGTACTCTATAATGAAAAAAATGCCACAACTGAAACACTCTTGTTGTTAGGCATTTGGGGTCATTCTAATATGTCACCATTAGAAATAACATTGCAACAAACACCTTCCTACTTGCGTTTTTGTTTAAATTTCTAACAATTTTAAGAAAGAAAAAAAAAAACCCACCTTAGAAGTAATACCTGCCAGGTCCAAAAGTATAAGTTTTTAGTATACACTGCCAGACTTATTTTCAGAAAGGTGATGTGTTTTTTTTCCTGGAAGTTCAAAGAAGTGCCTGTGTTGTCACACCCTTGCCAACACTAAATACTATCATTTTTATTTTTATTTATTTTTTAATAGTTAGCCAACTTATAGTACTATCATTTTTAAATGTCAATCAATTTGACAGGTGAAAAAAATGCTTCCTCCTCAATGTTTCGTTTCTTTTAGTGGGGTTGAGCATTGTTTCGTCAGCTCATTAACTTCTAAATGTTCTAAGCATCAGTGGATCCAAGGAATATTTCTCAGGTTGCTTAAAAAGAAAAAACATCTTTGGGCTTTTAAAAATCAACACATTTAGAAACATTTGGATGACACAAAATTAAAGCCAACGTGGTACGCTATACAGGGTACCTAGGGCTTACACAGCATCTGTGAGTCATTTAGGAGGCTAAACAAAGAACCAAGAGTAATTAAAGAAAAAAGAAAAGAAAACAAACATCTGTAGCTGGCAATATTCATGATTTCTGAATAAGGGTGCTAGATCTTTACCAATACATCTAAAGTAAATAATTGTTGACCAGAAAACACAAAGAGCAGCCTGTTTCCTTGATCTGGTCGCTTCTTGGCTCAGCTTTCAACAGCCAAGTCTCGTGTCTACTCAGGAGCCTACTGTTCCTCACAACTATCAACAATCCACTTCAAAATACTGGCTTCTTTTATCTAACACTGGTGGGGGTACGACCCATCCTTCTACATGCATATCCTTGTGCAAATTAGCTTCCTCCAAACATGCCTTCCCAGTTCCCAGATTTCCCAGATCAAGCAATCCTTTCACAGATGGTTCTTTCAATCCACACATCAATTTCGAAGAAGTTCAATGGTCTCTTAGCATAGACTTCCCACGTGGATTCAAGAGGTGATTCTTGAACTGCAAGCACATTAACGAGCCCTTCCCAAGGAGAAAAGTGTGTCTGATGTAAAGGACAAGGACAACCCAAAGGAAAGGTCCCCCACTGAGCACCACCAGTATTAGCAGTGACAAGGACGGCTCTCAGCCCATCTGCCCTCAGGGGAGCTCTAATCATTATTCTTGTCAGAATAGTAACAGTAACAGTTCCATTCTGTGGGAAAGCGGCATAATGAACAGGGGAAGTGAGAACACTATTATGCTTCACTCAGAAATTCATGTTAAGTCTGTTCAGTTTTTCTATCATGGGCAGGCACACCATGGAGAACTGCATTCACTTAGTGAGGATTATTTTCAATGGGCCAAATGTCACCAGAGTTCCTGGAGTTTCTACCGGAGCAAGGACCAGCCAGACTCAACCACTTTCAGCAAACAGGCTAGAAACCAGAGTCTGTAAAATAACTATTTTAGGTGGGACAACAGACAGTGCAGAACTGTGAGCCCCGAGAGAGAGACAAGGTGAGCTATACAGTCACCCAACTTCCTGCCTGGACACAATTTCCAGGCCACCAAATACTGGAAAGGGGACCCCAAATTGAACCTGGAAGCCTTGCTAGGTTGAGAAAATGAAGATCATCAGTCTTCAAGGAGGCAGAGGGGGCTGGAAGGTACAGGCAGAGTGCTGAGAACAGGAAGCTACACAGAAAGAGAAAGAGAGCTCTAGAAATGTACTGAGTTGTAGGCCGTGCAAGCAGGAGTGAAAATTCCACACACAAGGCAGGGTGAAAAATGACCAGTAAGCTACAAACTGAGCAATCTCCAATGTCTGCACAAAGTAGGAAGGTGTTCGAGCACCAGAGTAGAATGTTCTTGGAGACTCACTTATGGCACTCATTGAGACCCTGAGAGGCAGGCCTCAGTAGAAGGGCTGAACTATTTTCTGGAGGGAAGGCTACACTAAGCCTGTCCTATCAGCGGTTCAAAACAGGCCTCCAGCAGTTAGACAAACTGGCAAGTAACTTAAGGCTCTGCCAAAGCAAAGCATTAACAATCTTTAAGGAACGGTCGAGCTCCCTGCTCAGCGGGGAGCCTGACCTCTCCCCCTCCCACCCTCCACTCATGCTTTCTCTCTCAAATAAATAAATAAAATCTTTTCTTAAAAAAGATTCAGTTATTTTCATGTGACCTCTGTACTAATAAATAAAGTAATTCGGGGCACCTGGGTGGTTCTGTCGGTTGAGTGTCCGACTCTTGGTTTCGGCTCAGGTCAGGATCTCAGGGTCGTGGGATTGAGCCCCGCGTCAGGCTCCACACTCAATGCAGAGTCTGCTTGGGATTTTCTCTTTCCCCTCTCCTTCTGCCCCTCCCCCTGTTCATACACATGCTTGCGCACGCACTCTCTCTCTCTAAAGTAAATAAATAAATCTAAAAAAAAAAAAAGAGAGAGAGAAAGAAATTCATATGTCCTATTGGAATTAGAAATCCAGGGGAAAGGGAAAAGAATGTTATTTGTTTTCCAGATTAGCAGTTGGACACACTGCTTTCCCCGCTCCCACACACTGCTTTACATTTAAAGATACTTCATCTGAAAAGGTGTCTGGAGGGATAAAAGCCAACTGAGCCTTGAAAACTAACACAAAGTAAGTTTGTTCTATGTTTACCAGCTTTCTGAATACCAGGAAAATAAAATCAAATTAAAAAGGAGGTTAGGCCCTCTGAAAAGTACCCAATTTCAATCAACTAGGAAATTCTCTTACATAGAATGTGTTATTCCTTCACTGGACAGAGAAGCTGTATTTGCTGTGGTTAGAGTGGATTCACTCTAGATGCAGCCCCGAAGGAGAAGCCTCCAAGTCCCAGGTTCCAACAGATTTCTGTGTTTCTCAACTAAGCAATCCATATTGAACTCTACTCGTCACTGAAATCCTATTTTCTTTAGGGTTTTCAGCTAAGCAGACAAATGTTAGGCTATATCCTCTTTTTCTAGACCTTTAAGACAAAAATGTGTGAAAATGAGTATTTTTAGCTATGCTTGCTTGTGCCATTAACGTCAGTTTAAAATTTTTCACACTGTAGAACATCTGTCACACAGAAAATGGTCGTACGTACAGAAGGGTAAGTTTTCCCTGAGCCCAAAGGAATAATTGATTCTATCTCAAGCCACCACCACAAAGACCATCATCCAAGAGTCACTACTCTCATTTGACAGTCTTGGGTAGAAACCTGGGCCTTCAGGTCCCAGTCTTTTAATCCTTTTAAATCACCTGGGCTCCTTTCCCCCTTTTACAGCACTGGGACAAGACATTTTTAAATGACTCATGAAGTTTCTACAGAGCAACACTGTGATCTTTGTCCAACTCTCCATCACCTCATTCCTGGCAACCCTGTAAGTAGGCACGGTGGAGTGAAAAGCAGCAAATAGCATGCTGAAAAGGGCTATGGGTACAAAAGAGATTTTCAAACACAGAAGAGACAGGACCCTTTGAAGAAACAAAAGGCCAGGGAACAAACACAGTCATCCGTGGACCTAAAAGCAAACCAGCAGAATTCTAAGCAAGTCTGTGAACATATCTTGCACAAGTCTTGAACTGTGGACAAGGTGCTGGGTGGAGGGTAGAGAGTGACCGTGGCTAGCCCGGAGGGCAGAAGCAGTCCGTCAGCCTCACCTGACTCAGGCCCTGAAATCCCTGAGCAAGCCCTCCCAGGGCCCCAGCTGTCTCAGAACTAAACTTTAACCAAGCCAATAGGGAAAGATATAAAGCAACAAGCCACAGACACATTCTATGGGTCAAAAATGATCAGAGGGGTGCCTGGGTGGCTCAGTCGGTTACATGTCTAATTCTTGGATTTGGCTCAGGCAGTGATCTCATGGGTTGTGAGATCGAGCCCCACGTTGGACTTGGTGCTCAGCAGGGGGTCTGCTTGAAGATTCTCCCCCTTTGCCCCTCCCCTCACTCACACATTCTCTCTCAAATAAATTAATCTTTTTTTAAAAAAAAAATGATCAGAAAGGCCACTCTGTATACCACCATGACTATAGGTTTAGGTCCAGGGGTGGTGGAGAAACAGATCAGTCTAAAGACAAGCCTTCAAGTTCAGTATCTAGAACCTGGAATTACGAGACTTGGATTGCACTGTCCATTTAGCAATTGTATATACTCATCCACAAGAACAAACAAAATGTCACAGAAACTAAGAAATGTCTGTTCCACTGTCCATCTGCCAGGAAGGCGAGAACCTAAATCACAAAGCTTTTCCTCT